GGGTGGGCGAGGCTTTGGGCAACGTGGTGTAGGGGAGGGTGTCCCTGCCCATGGCAGGGAGGTTGGAGCTAGATGATCTTTGAGGTCCCTTCCAACCCTAACCATTCTATGATTCTATGATTTTACAATTTGTGGGCCCATATAAGACCTGAACTGTAGCCATTCTTAGCCCACTCACAAATAATTCACATCCTAGAGCATTTGGACGAGACCACAAAGCTGGTCAGAAAAAAAGAAAAAAGATTGGTCAGCGAATGTACTTGCTACATCTTGCTACGTAGAGAGGAGAACTAAAATGCATACAGATTTCCTAACAGTCAAAAGTAGCATCCTCCATATATTAAGACGGAACATACATTAAGATGGCATGCCCCACCTGCCTCAGTACACTTATGCATGGCATATGTTTCTTTAAGATCACCCAGCAATAAAACATGTATTTATTATGGCCATTAGAAACCAAACTTCATTCTTCATTTTGACCAACTTCTGGGGTTTTTTTTGTGCATTATCTGATTTTTGTTTGTGTAGGTTTAGACTGGGAAACATGATGAAGAACTCCTTCAGGACAATTTAGCTAGAGACTATTTAGGCCAGGGCTGATTTCAGACACGCAGACACAAGTCTAGCAGAACTATAGGGTTTTATTTCACTACAGGGATAAGCACTAAAGTGAAAGTGAAGTTAGATGTAGGGCATTAAATGCTCTTTTCTAAAGCTAGTTACTGGCTTTTCTGACACAATTACAGAATATGAAATTCGGAGTCTTCAGGCTGGAAAGTAGGGGTCCAGTTCTGGCCTGTTCATCAGGGAGAAAGTATTTCCTCATATCAGTGGGAAAACCATGACACAGCACTCTTCAAAAGAGAACGCGTCAACAAACATGGAACTCTGCAGACAGCTCTGCCACATACAGGCTCTCAAGGCAGCCCATTTTCAAGTAGGATGAACACAGAAAAAGGCAAATTCAGGACACTGATGTTAGTGCTAAAATACTTGTGCCAGTTTTTTTAACTTTTCAGTTTCGTACGTTCTTCTCTGGCACCTGCTCTTTAAATTGCACATTTGTTTGCGAAAACTGGCTAATTTACACATGTGCACAGCTCTGGAAAAACAACTGGAAAGCTCTTTGTGCTCTGTAGCTGAGATGAAGTACTTAAAGAATATGTCCCTTTCCAAATGAAATAAATGTTGAGCAGCACACTTATACTGGTTGCTTAGCAACAGGTTGTCCTTTGGCTGTGCTGGGGACTGCACCAGTCCTTTGAGACTGCCATTACAGACCTGCTTGGAAATGTCACATTTGGAAAGGATGCAAAAGTCGGTAATTCTATTTTTTTTGTGTGGTATCAAATAATTAAACCTCTCCTATTAAATTAGCCTAATCACAGAACATAATTCTCTTCTGGGACTCCAGAGAACACAGACCTTAGCAGAAGTGGTATGGTTTCCCTTCTACAGGAATAAAAACAATGGTTACACTGTCCCTTCTAATGAGGAATAACATTATGCAGTTCCCGTGTATCACTTTCCATACATAGATCCCAAGTGCTTTACAGTGGATGCCATTTTTCGTAGGAAGCCATTAGTACACCTTGCATAGCTACACCAGGAGGACATGTCCAGCTACAGCTACACAAGTAAAATCCTTAACAAAGATGTACCCCGGAGAGTGGGTGGCTTTACGATTCCCCGTTCTTTGAACACTCCACTGTGACTGTCTAAACTCCTGCTGGCTTGCATAGCTATCTGGATTGCAATGTCTGCATTTCATTTAGACGCATTTACAGAACACAGTAGAAAAGGTACACACATCTCCGATCTAGAGCC